TCAAAATAAAATATAGGAAACCAGTACTAACAAACAACGAATTACGAGGGGTGGTCTCATCGTGACAAGTGGTTAGAGATGTTGTCCGAGGTCTTTAGGAGTTTTGTCGTCAGATGTATTTTATCGATTAATACATGGAAATGAGTACCTGTGGTCATAATACCCTCCAGATGAATGCATCCACATCAAACCTCGTCAACTAATCTCCATACTGTGTAACCTTGTCCACGTTAAACGACGTGTACCTGTAATTCATGTGGTATCAAACCCAGGTGCCCAAACATCCAATCTCGGATGACTAATGTGTTAGGAGAGAGATTGTTGTGGGATCAGAATGCATAGCACGACTTATAAGGCAAAGGGTGGCCCATCGTATGAAACTAGAATTTTTGGAGTGTTGAAGAATTCTTATTACCAGTGGTACTTTGTGAATGGGCTTGGACAGGCCGAGAAGTTGCTGTAGCGCGTCTGTGTGGGACAATCAAGCTGGACGCCATGCTTAGCCGACCCAGAACTAGTTCCTCTGTAAACTAATATAGACCTTTTAGATCACTTTGAAAGCAGAGGAGGCCATACATGTTTAAGGCCCTCTCCACCGCGCGACCCCAAACGGACATCCGTTTTGTCCGGATTTTGTCCGTTTGGGTAGGGCGATGGGGTCGTGTCCGGCCTGTCCTGGGATGCGGTGGCCGTGCGCCCAGCGCGCGACCGCATCCTTTTACCCCATCCTGTCCGCCTTTTTCAAACAAAGATGTCATCATCCTCATGCCACGAGTCACCATGGTCGTAGTCAGCACGGTCATCGGCGTCTTCATCGGCAGTGAACTGGCCGCGGCCATCCTGACTTTGGGTCTCGTTGGGGTCGTAGGTAGGGACGTGCCCACCCTCGTAGATCACTTCCTCCATGAACTGGTCGTAGTAGGGGTCGCCGACCGGTGGCGTTGGTGTTGGCATTCCGTCGAACAAGACGCGGGGTGACGGCATGGTGCCCGTAAACTGCGGCCGTGTGTGCTTTCTTTGCATCTGACGGGCGGCCGGCCGCCATTGCTGGAACCATGGGTGACGTTGAGGTCGATGACGGCCGCCGTGCGCGGGGTGGACGGCGGGACCGCGCTCACGTCCGGCGACCCCGAGAAACGGGTCTGTCCGTCGTGCCTTGGCGGGGGGAAGCCGGGCGACATTGGCGTGGTCCGCGACGACGGCGACTGGTAGTGCGTAGGCCGGGCGACCGATGACCCTGTGCTCGCCGGACCGACGGCCGCTCCAGAGAAACCGGTCGGACGACAAATGCCCATCATGAGAAGGGCGTGCGCTTTGCTGACGATGGCCTCCTTCTCCTTGACTTCGGCCTTGCGCCACGCGGCCTCAATCACAGCGCGGTCGGCGGTCTCTTGGCCGCGGCGATGTTGTCCTTGGCAACCGCCCTCCGGCTCCTCCTCTTCGCCGATTTCGCGTCTAACTTGGCGATCTCCTGCGGCGTGCGCTCCGACCGCGGCTTCCTTGGCGCCTTGCCCTTCTTGGCCATTCCGGGCATGGCGACGGCCGGCCCACCGGAGTTCGGCTGGGCGTCGGCCATGGACGAGGGAGGGAGTAGGACGGCGGGACGTGGGAGGGTTTGGGGGCAAATGGCGCCAAAGGGGCCAGGGGGGGAGGGGGTTGCTTTGTGTCATCGACAGGCGGGCCAGGGACGGGCAAGCGTGCGCGTCCCATCCATCCGCGCGCTGTCCGTTTCACCCCAAAACCGGCGCAAACTTGGCCGGGAATGGGTCGAAAGCGGACTTAAAACGGACAAAAGTCCGTTTGCTCCCGCGCGCTGGGCCGTCCGGTTTGTCCCTTTTACCCCAAACGGACGGGGCCGGACAAGATGGAGTCGCGCGGTGGAGATGGCCTCAGTACTCCCTTTAAAAGCAAATATAAGAGTGTTTAAATAATTAAAAAATGTGATTAGAACATAAAAAATACGGAAATGTTAACGCCCACACGTGTGGGCGTTTGCACATCACCCACACGCCTCCATCGCCACTCATTTTGCCACGTATGAATAGATGACATCAGCAGAATTTTTTTTGGTTTTCGGCTTAAAAATGTTGTATCTCCTAAATAAATAAGCGAACTAAAAATCCGTTTTCACCATTAAATCCGTCTCGACGAGATCTTCAAAACTAGACCCCATGTTGATATGTTTCGATGAATTTTTTTTTACCAGAAGTTGCCACGATGTTTACACTGCAGTTGCCATAGGGCTTAAACTAAAGTTGCCATGTGGCAATTTTAGTTTGTAGATCATGGCAATTTTAGTATTTTGATGATGGCAACTCCAGTACTTTGACCATGAAAATTATTTTTTGTATGAACCATGGCAATTTTACGTGCATGTATCATGGCAATTTTAGTTTATGGTTCATGGCAAGTCTAGTTTCTTAATTTCCCGTTTTATAAATGTCAAAATTTACTTTTAAATGTAGAAAAAAATAGCTGAAACATATCATGGCAACTTCAGTGTAAACATCATGGCAATTCATATGCAATAGACATGGCAACTTTTAATCTAAAAAAAAAATTCTTCAAAACATATCAACATGGGATCTAGTTTCGAAGATCTCATCGCGAGGGATTTAATGATGAAAACGGATTTTCAATCGGATTATTCCTTTAAGAGATAAAACATTTTAAAAACTGAAAATCCAAAAAAATTTCTGCATGCATGCACGCAATGACGTGGCAATCTGTTTACATTAGAAACGTGTAGTGCGTCTCCCTTTCTGCCACATATGTGACAATTAGCGCGACCCAAAAAATATAAGGCCGGCATTCAACCAATGCTGGCAAGAGATTGTAAGGAGAACACACTTACATAGGTACAGGCGTACAGCCTCTCGGCTTTAAGCCTGTTATAACGGAATAAAAACTCTTCACTCGCAAAAAAAATATAGGTACAGCCGAAATTACAAAATAATCTGACTAGTCAAGTATCATGAAAATTCAACACAGAAGTAGTCCCTCTGTCTGACAAAAGGTAAACTTTTTTTGACATTATGGTATTGTCAAAAAAAACGTCTTAAGACAGAGGGAGTAGTATATATCAAGGCAGACAATGTTAATTGCGTTTATCTCTCTGCCTCAAGAACGATGACTTTCCTTAGCAGCCTCCTCCGCCCCCGCCGTCGCCTCCCCCGCCACCACCACCGTCGCCTCCGCCCCCACCGTCCCCATATCCGTCGCCGTCATCCCCTCCTCCGCCGCCATCGTCTCCGCCTCCGCGACGACGTTTGCGCTTCTTATCCGCGGGACGCTTCTTGTGGCCGGCGCAGCCAAACACGGCGATGGCCACGATTGCAACCGCAGCCACAAAGCCGAAAGCTAGACCCACAACGTTGCTGGGCGCGTAGTGCACCGAGCCAGCAGCGAGACCCAACGCCCGCACCATCGTAGCTGCTCGATCGAGCTTCTCGATTGATTAATGATTACCTGCCAGCTTCTTGTATTTATAGGCTTGTGGGCTGTGCTGCAACTGCAAGCAGAGAAATGTCAGCCGACGACTCGTTCAGTAGCTCTGTTCTTGAGTCCTACGTAACCGGGGAAGTCTTCGAGCGTCGCTGTACGTGGCACGTTGATTGGAACGGCGTTGATTGGAGTAGTTTGGTGGCTATTTCATTAGGGGCGATTGAACATACAGCTGCTGGAAAAGTCTTGGACGCGTGAAGGAGTTGTCAGCTCGGACTTCAGACTTCAGAGCTCGCACGTCACCTTGGATTCGAGCTGACCAATTAATAGCCACTAGTTTCGTAACAATGTCCTGGCCGTCCAATATCTTTACTTCTGGTGTGAATTGGTGGTGGCGCCTATTCTGAAGCCAGTCAAGTAGGAGTACCTGCATGAAACTTGCAAGTAGTGATGGTGGTTAATTCTACAGAATGTCAAAAATATAGCAACTTAGTCAGGAACCAAACTTGCAAGCTTTCCCCCCTATAGTATTTCTATTTCCAGGTTTAGGACAAAGGAAATATAGCATAGCACCCAGAGAGTACAATAGGATGCATCTTCTACACTGACAGAATACGAAAAATGGTAAAGAAAAACATAAATTTGAAGATACCAGACGATTATACAGCTTACACAGTCTCTTGACCAGGTACAGTCCGAAAACAACTATTTAATCTGTACCTCGCATCTTGCCTAAGCAAGCTAATACTAGTAACCTTCATCCTCTCTTATGCTCCTTATTTCCCTTGGTTGCTTGTTGCTTCGTGCTGAAGCTGAAATACTAGCAGGGTTATGAATGTCACTGTCGTCTTTACGCAACACATACTCGTCTACTGCGTTGTTTTCTTCTACGGGTTTCTATGTAATAACCTCATGATTAGCAAAGTTACTTTGGAGCACAAACAATCTCTAGAACGAAATAACAGTGGCAATGCATTGCTTGCTTAGTAACATGGTGAATCTGAAATAAGAGCTCTATCATCACTACAATCTCCAAGAAACTTACAAGGAAATCATATCCTCAAAAGAAGAAGGCCATAACAGAAAGTTCAACACACATCGAGTGAGTTTATATGTGGACATAACCAACATATTAGATACGGTCTTATCAGCTTTGGCCGTCTTCAACCTGGATTCATTCTATCATGTGTACCCTTTTTTTTCCTTCACAGCCATGCCAGCATTGAAGCCTGCCACACATTTCGTCGAGCAAATGTGGGGCCAGGCTGCCGGTGCCATGTCAGAAGGTCACATCATGGAGTGAGCATGAGGCACACCCAGGCTATGTGTGCTCTCGATGAAGAACCAGTAGTGGCATACATATAAATCGACAGCTTCCTTCGATATAAGGATTTAAGGATATGTGTGGAACTATCCAATCAACAAAACATACACATATTTGTAGTTCTGCCATATTTTGCTACAATGCTTGCCTTTATTTCTTCCACTCGACATTACTACAACTTTAAAATTTGCTGAAATTAACAAAGATTATTAGCATCGACTGTGAGTTATAATTACACTGAATATGCAGCACCAGGTTGCGCCGTTATAGCTGCAAGCAGTCTTGGCATCGGGGGCACATCAATTTCCTGCAGACCCTCGAGAACCCGGACCACTTCACCCATCGTCGGCCGATCAAACTCATTATCTTGAATGCACCAACATGCAACTTTGCAAACCCTTTCAGCCTCTTCCAAATTGAAGTCACCATGCAATCGTGGATCCACCAAACTCTTCACATCTCCCCCATGAAGCTTGTTGATGGCTTGCACAGGGAAATATTCAGCGTGGTAACTGGTGCTGCTGCTAGTGTTGTGTGTTTCAGGTGAATTCCTGCTTCCGGATATGATCTCCATCAGTACCATGCCGAAGCCGTAAACATCGATTTTTGGTGTAATAGCAACTCCGGTAAGCCACTCTGGAGCAAGATAACCTTTGGTTCCTCTGAATGTGGTCAGAATTCGGCTAAAATCCCTTCCAACAAACGCTGCCAATCCAAAGTCTGCAACTTTGGGAGCAAAGGATGCGTCCACAAGTATGTTTTCTGGCTTAACATCACAGTGTATGATGCATTCACGGCAACTCTGATGCAAGTAGGACAACCCTCTGGCAACTCCTAGGGTTATCTGATACCTGGTGTTCCAGTTTAGGACAGCAGCATCAGCATTATTGCTCTTCTTAAATAGATGACTATCAAGAGACCCATTGAATATGTGCTCGTACACAAGTAATCTGTGATGACCTTCGCAGCAGAAACCAATCAATTTGACTAGGTTGATATGTTGGATCAGTCCAATTGAGCTCACCTCAGCTCTGAATTGCTTCTCCCCTTGATTGGCACCATCAAGCCTTTTCACTGCTACGGTAGTCTTCGAGTCACTTAATACTCCCTTGTATACAGAACCAAAACCACCTCCTCCCAGCTTTTCTGAGAAGTTTTTAGTAGCACGAACTAAGTCAGTGTATCTGAAGGCTATGATGCCAGCAGAACTACCTTCATTGCTGTACAAAGGCAAACCACACCACTTGAATCTGTTCCTCCAAATCAGTAACAACACCATGAGCATTATTAACCCAAAACCAATAATGCTTGCAGCGGTAACAGCTCCAACGTTTGGTTTTCTTTTGTTCTTCATCAAACTTGGCGGCAAATCTTTGGCGGCAAGGCGGAGGTATAGAACATCTTCAGAAGTATTATCAATGCCATCATTCCGATTTACACTAAGCAATTCCCCATGCCAGACAGAGCATCTGCTGTTGCTATAGGAATAAGCAGTGCAGGAGCAGGAACTGAGACAAGCTTCTTCACATTTGCTCTGTGTGGTAACAACGTCTATGCTTTGTGGGTTGTAGGGTAACGTAACATGAGCAATGGGGTTGAATATATCTGTTGAACTTGTCATGTTTTTGTTGTTACTGCTAGTGTTGCAGTGTAACGGTGTATTTCTGATGCACCCTCCTGTTCGATCATTAAACATCCAATCCCGCAGTGACTTCTGTGAGAAGCTCCCCATACAGTCACAGAATGGTTGTGCAGTGCCGTTGCATACTGTGAAAGCTCCACAGGTAGCGGCCGGAGTGCAGGCATCGGCGGGCTGGGAATATATGGTTTGCCAAGACTGGCTGGCTTCCGACCAAACATTCAGCTTTATCTGACCAGAGATGTCAAGTGAGACAAATGTGGAAGATGATTCATCTGGTGAGGTGTACATGTAGTACTCCTCTTGGTCGTTATCAACATATGCTGGGTTAATCAAACCTTTGGTCCGTGGATCCATATCCAGAATGGACTTGAGTATTGGTATAAGCTTCAATGATGATGTTTTGGAGGATGCCCAATGCCAATACACCACTGAGGGGTTTAGGCGCTTGAGGACGACCTGCCCGCTGGTGTCTAGTTCAACGCTGTATGAGCCGAGACCCGGATCAATGAGGCTCTTCTTTGAGACGCCCTTACGATTCAAACTAGTGATCTTGTTTCGGCCAACCTTGGCACCAGGAAGCACAATATCTGTTGGGTGATCGAAGCTCTGCCACAACGGTAGGTCCGATGATGATGATGGGCTCTCTGTAACTGTAAGGGCGAGATTTCCACTGTTCAAGACAACGGCAGCAGTAGCTGTGGTGTTTATGCTGCTGGCTCGTGTCCTATTATTGACAATGTGAGTGGACCAAACTACGGAATCATTGTGTACAATGACAAGATTGCCATCGCTTGATATCTGGAGCTGTGTTCGGTTGAGGCTGGGGCCGGTGATGGGCTGATCCCTATTGGCAACCCACACGACAGTAAAAACGGGTATCTTGTTGAACCATATGCCTAGGTACCAGCTGGAGCCGGAGGTGTTCTGGGACTTACTGATGGTGCCTGCTGCTGGCTGGAAGAAGCCGAGTGCGAACTTGCCATTCCCCGAGACGAGCTTGCTGCCGCCGACGGCGAGCGACTGGCCCGCCGTGAGGGTATCGCTTGCAGCTGCAGAGGAGCACCAATGAGGAACGTGCAAGAGGAGAAGCCCGATCGGTAGTATGTAGAGGGGAGACATGGAGAAGAGTTTGTGTGCTCTGCTTTGATATTCGGAGGAAGAAGCCGATGTATACATAGAATGGAAGAGGGCCAATAGTGTGAACAAGCAGATTGGCATGATCAGTGGACTGACCAGGGAAGTCAAGATTGGTGACTAGGACATCAGTACTACGCATCCACTTGGGCTGCCACTTGGAGTGGGTAACTGCACACTCGTTTGGAGGTATCTCTAGGCATAATACCAGGCAGTATTGCCATAAAACCATGCGCTAGCCAGCACCGTTTATGAGCTTCCACCAAGGAGTATAGCCATCAATATAAAGGCAATATTGCACACCAAGGAGGAAGCTTCCACCAAGCGGCTGAATGGAGGATGAAGCCACCCATGGTAGACTCGTGGTCAAGGTCAAGTCAATTATGAGCCTTCCACCAAGCTTTTTGCCTGCAGGGAAATTGTATTTTAAGGCGCTCTCGGAAGTGCTAACCATACCATTCGAAGACAACTCTCATGGCAAGCTGCTTGCTAAAGGTCAGCCAACAAGCAATGGCCTGAATGATCACTGTATTAACCTAAACAAGAAAGAATACTTCACTTATTTAAGGCTTAAATTCAAATATAATATAACTTTAAAAAAGATCCTTTTTACTAACGAACACACAAACACAAATGTCTGTGTAAATGAGCCTATTACATATGCAAATTCAACGGATATCAACACAAAAGACCAACCTCACACGGATGTAATCTAAACACATCAGAAAGAGCCAGCAATGAACACAAATTAACCAAACGAAACGGTGGCAGAAGCGCCAATATCAGAGTACCAAGCTCACCTCTTCAGGACTGAGACAAGCTATGGAAGTAACTGTCCCTCGGAGTGCTCATCGGACCAAGGTCTTCTTGTTCGACAAAAGGTCAGTGAACTGATTCCCCAATCCCTCTCATAAGCTCTACCAATCACACGCTGTTGCGAAGGCACTCAGTTCTCCGCAAAATCTTATAAGTTGGAATGGTTAATCTGCAGAAGGCCAGAAGACAAGCAACTCAGGAACCTAACAGCTAGGAAGCTTTTCCTTTGTAGCGTTTCCAAGTTCAGGACAAAGGAAATGAATCACACAGCAATGCATCTGAATCTGAATGAACAGGATGGCTCCCCTTCTATATTGGCACCAATTTTACTGAACAGTATTTTTTTTAGAAAGAAAAAAAATCTGCAGTCTGATGTAGAACAACACAAAATGTAACCCAATTGTGAAGAAATTGGTTCTTCCATGCCTAGATTGTGGAAACTTTTATTCCGAGTTATAGTGTACTACTAGCACATAACAAGTCAAGACTGTTTGCAAGAGTTGGACCTGCAGCCATTGCGCAGCTTGTAGAACCGGATCAGGAAGGCCGCCGCCGCCGCCGTGAACCGGGAAGGAAGTGAATAGAGCCCGTGTGACGACTGACGACGGAGATTCTCCAGCTCTCCGCCCGAAGATCCGCCCACGCCCGGGGCCGCCCTCTCAGGGCCGGCCCTGGAGGGGGGCAGAGGGGGCGGCCGCCCCGGGCCCCTGAAGTCTAGGGGCCCCCACCTAGGTAGTATGCACGTAGGCAAGGCCCAGGGATGCACGACAGCGCATGCACACAAGGCATGTACGCGTCGTCCTCCGATGCAGGTAGCTAGCCCACGAAGCCGCTGATTTCTCGTCGATCGATTTGCTAGCCTTTTACTCAGATTTCCTTCTATCTAATCGTGACGATGTTCCCTATTCATCTATTCCTTGATCTATTTCTAAAAAAACTATTCCTCGATCTCGCATGCTCATGGCCCAATCCGAACCGAACAAACCAGAGGCAGCCGCCGGTCCTTGTTTCCCTTCTTCTCACGGCAAGCCGGCGGTGGGGATGGATGAGGGAGCAACGTTGATGCTTGACTTCAAATGTGGTGGCCCGTGCAGTTCTATCTGACGACAGCCATGGTGGCAGCCGGAGAGCTGACGTTGTAGACGGAGGTCACAAGTTGCGCGCCGGTGAACTACGCTGCTCTCCGGCATCCAGGTGATGGACGCATACATAGTGATGCAAATTGTCAAGCACCTCCCATCTCATGTCAGTCTAAAACATCATGGCTATTGCCTGATCAGGTGATCAATGCTGATCCGATCAATCTGAGGTAACATCACACAACCTACTTCCAATGTCTATATTGCTAATTAAGTCATTTATTTATGTTCACATGCAGGATACATAGCTTCCAGTGTTCAAGCTTTGACGTAATTTAATTATTGTTTTTTAGCAGTGCGTATTATCACGTCTACTAGAATATATGCATTTGGTGAAAAGATAACAATGAAATAAGAACTATAAGAAGGATCTATCGGCCCCATCATAAGTGAATTTTATGAATGATTATTATAAATGGTTGAAAGGTAATATGTATATATTATTTGATAAGAGTGTCTCTTTTGGGGGCATTTAAGCGATTTTATATATATATATATATATATATATATATATATATATATATATATATATATATATATATATTCCTATAATGTTTATGTCAAGGGGGCCCAACTTTTGGTTTCGGCCCGGGCCCCTAAAATCTCAGGACCGGCCCTGGCCCTCTCTTCCCCTCGCCAGCCTCTCCATTGTTTCACCGCCACCCAAACCTGCGTGCCCACCGCCTGCCGCGGCATCGCCCCCACCTCCACGCCGCCACCGTCGGCGGTCCCCTCCCTCCCTCACGCTCTCTCTCCCCGCATGATTCAAGCCGTCGAGGCCGCCGGCCACCGTGGCAGAAGGTGAGTCGTGAGGTGAGGTGCGGCGGCCGTCAGAGAAAGAGGGGCAAGACTGAGTTCACGATGGTAGGGAATTTCTCCCGGTTGGTCCACAGCCGTTGGATGGGAGGTAGATGCACTGGATTAAGGCGCGCTACGCGTCCGTCAACTATCGCACGAGGAAAATCGGCCGCCTCCCTAGCCATTTGATTCGGTGAACGAGAGTCGTTGATCCGCTACCTGAGTCACCGCAGACCGTTGCAGCATAGCCGTTGTTACCATCGCAAAATTTCCCTCACCTTCACCTGGTCGGACCGCAACACCTCGCGTGTTTGGTCGATTGTTTGCAACTTGGCCCCTGTTGTAAACTAGCCGGTATGTCTATGTGGGGAGGGTACGCCGTCCGATCAAAGCCATATCTGACGACAGCGGAGACTGACACGTCTAGTTTAGGGTTGGGTGCGACGCTCTGTCAATAAGGACGGCCAATGCATAGCTCCAAAGAGATGCCTCATATGCCATGTAGGATGAATGCTAGAAAAAGTAGGTTCGAATGAGGAAGCGGGATCCTCTGCATGAGGCGAGTTCTTGGAGAGAAAAAGTGTGGTCCGACGTAAAAACCTAAAAAGGTTAGATTGGAAAGTAAAGATGCATGTGTACTAGAGTCTTTATATTTTATTATGTGATGAGGCCTACTAGTGATAGCTTGCATTGAGAGAAAAAATCAATATACATCAACAACGGACTTTTGTAGCAGAGATTCAACAATCTTGTGCAGGCGTGCCCTCAGATCGGGATGTTCTGGATCAATTCCATCATCAGTAGATGGTTCTATTGATTTGTGAAGATTACATATAACCAGGGTCAGTGTAGATTTCTAGAAGACATATAATCCTAAACAGCTAAGCCGCGGTGATTTCGCATTCTGCCTTCCTTGCGCAGGCGGTGACGATGCCATAGATCTATGGTAGGGTTATAGGCCTGACCTATACGCCCTATCCAAGGTCACTACCCTAGAGTCAAGGACGTTCAAGATATAACAAGGAGTATCAACTTAAGCCATCGAGTGCAATCCACTCGACCAATCACCTCACTCGGATACCTCCAACTTCACTCGACCTATGAAGTCATTCGACCATACAGGAAACCACTCGGAGTACAGGAGGCATAAAGTCACCCAGGATGGCAACGGTTAGGCCTTCACTCTGTAGTCTTAAAGATCATTTATGGCTGGAGTTATCAGTAATGCCCCATCTTAACTCACATTGAACCATGTGTAACGGAGGTCTGAGAGGGTCCTGGCGCACTCTATATAAGTCACCCTCCTCCTCTGGCACAAGGGTTCGCACCCCTTGTAACACACACACCTATATTCCTCGACCGCCTCAGGGCACCGAGACGTAGGGCTTTTACCTCCTCCGAGAGGGGTCTGAACTCATAAACTCGTGTGTACAACCTCGCCATAGCTAGGGCCTCGCCTCCTCATACATACCCCCTATTCTTACTTTCAAACTTAGTACCACGACAGTTGGCACCCACCGTGGGGCAAAGCGTCTTAGCAACTTCCGGCGAGGTTGCGGTTTCTTCGATCTTCATCAACATGGTTTTCGGCGGCGGTTTGGTCATGGGCTGCGAGTTCCGACTCGGTGCGCCCACTTTCGTCGCCGACGACTCCGCCTGGCTCCAGGAAGCCCCCCTCGATGTCGAGGCTCTCCCGTTCCGTGGATCGTCATACTTTTCCGTGCGAGTGACTGCAGCGTCCTATTACGACAGCCGTCGACTCCGCATCGGTCGACCTTCATGTCGCCTACTCACTCCGCTGGATGCCGGCGCAAGCGATCTGGTCGATCACGGCTCCAGCGGTGGGTGAAGCATGCGGTGGCTTGCCAGACGGCCACCCCCAAGTTGCAGCAATCGAGCCCGACGAATTTTACTGTGGTCCAGTCGACCTGTCGACTAGTTCTGCAGGTACTTTTTTTGAGAGCGGGGGTTGTGACCCCGCGGCAGAAGTTCTCATGGTCGACTCCCGTCGCAGCCCGCCTGGGTTTCGCCGCAGCGGCAGCAACGGGGGTGGCGATGGCGCGTCATTCGACCACGAGGAGTACGAGCCCCAACCTCTCAATTTGCAGCAGAGGGAGGAGCTGCACCGCCGCAACGTGGAGGCCCTCCAGACCCCCATCATGGGGGAAACCGCCGAGGCTCGGGCCTTGGAGGCTGTGCACCTGGCCACGTTGGCTGAGCGCACTCATTTAAAGAATCTCCAACATTCTCTCGACAAACGTGCCAGTCGACTGATCCCCGAATCCAGTCGACGTCCACAACAATTGTTCCCGCCCGAACCTCAGGTATTCCGCGCACCGATCCAGAATCTTGCAGCTGCTACACGTATAACAGAGTCTATTCAGTCGTCCCGTTCAGAAGCTGGAAGAGGCTTGGAGCAGATCTGAGCGCTGCTCCGAGCAGCAGGAGAGCTGAACTCCGTTGTTTCCCAATCATGGAA